GTCCACCTTGACGGTACGCTTCCCTGCCCTGACCCCCCTACTCCCCTGCCCGTTGACCCCTCTTCCGCTGACCATGAGTCCGCTGCAGCAGCTGCCCTTGCCCGCTCAGTCTGGCTATCGCGTGACGCAGTTGCGCAGCTTGCGATCAGTCATACCCTTCCCCTGTCTGAGCGCCCCCGCTTTCGGTCAGTCACGACTGCGCAGGAATTCCTAGATGCCGTTGTCAAGCGCTATTCCACCCCGCCCGCTGCCTCTGTAGGTCGCCTGATCCTACCGATGCTCTTCCCTGACCTTGCGTCTTTCCCTACTGTCGCTGACCTGGCTGCTCACCTATGCACGGTAGACGCGACCTGGCGCTCTGCCTGCACTGAGACCCAGCTTAGAGCCTTTCAGCCACCCCTCTGCTCTACGCTCCACGTGCTTGCCACCCGCCTCCCTGACCGCCTTGCTACTGCCCGCGACCGCTTTCTTAGCACCAACCCTAGTGACCTCACCCTCACTGACTTTGTCGACACCCTGTCTGCCATAGAGACCCGCTAGTGCTCTATTGCCCAGACCAGCGGTACTGTGCCGGTCTCTATCTTCCAGGGTTGTGCCCCCTCTCAGTGCACCTTCTCCGACGGTTCTGCTGCTGTGGGTGAGACCGCAGCTGCTGCACAGTTCCGTCCGGAGAAGGGTCGCTGACCCAAGGCTGGGCGCGGCGGTGGGGGCAGTGGTGCAGGTGGAGGTGGTGGTGGCGTCGGGTCGCCCAGTGGTAGTGCTGACGAGGGGATCATGCCTGGTGCAGCCGAGCAGCCGTCTCAGCAGCCGCCGGCATCGCAGCCGGACCCGCACCAGCTGCAGCAGCAGCCCCAGTCCCAGCCGCACCAACCGCAGTAGCCGCAGCCGCAGCCGCAGCAGCAAAGGCGGGCGAGTGGTCTCCCGCCCGGGTGGCCTGGCGCTGGTGGTGGCGCAGGCCATGGTGGTCGTGCGCGTTGTGTGCAGTCCAGTGGCGATTCGGGTGACGGGCGCTATCAATACCAGCCCCAGACCGGTCCTCGCCGTGGCTTCGTTTGCGGTAAGATCAGTCACTCCTCCGTCCATTGTTTCAGTCGCCTGGACGAACTTTTCGTCAGCGCTTCGACCCGGCGCCCGACCTCCCCGACTAGCACAGCTTGCTTCGCCGTAGTGTTCCGATTTTCTATATGGACATGGATGAGCTTTGTTCTGCCCTGCATGTGCTGTATTCTGATGACTCTAGTGTGACTATACCTTACTACCCCTTGTTGCCTAGTGTAGGTGTGTCTAGTCTTGCCTCCCCTGCTGCGTCACGCGTAGGATCCCCTGCCCTGTTTAGCCTTGGTTCTTCCCTCGCTGCTCCGACTCCGGCCGCTACTGCTGCGCTCTCCTTCACCCTTGACTCTGGCGCTTCCCGTTGTTTCTTCCGCGACTCCACCACACTGACGCCACTTGCCGCTCCTTCTGCAGTTTCCCTTGCTGACCCCTCCTCCGACCCGGTAGTCGCCCGCAGTTCCACCACCCTTCCCTGTCCGGCGGTTCCTTCAAGCTCTCTTACACGCATGCACCTCCCCTCGTTCTCCAGGAACCTAGTTGGTGTCGGCTGCCTCCAGGACTTTGGCGTCACCACTACGTTCCCTGGTCACGAGCGGTGCGCTGTCTGTACCGAGGCCGCCACTGGTATCCCCCTCACCACGTTCCCCCGGGACCCGGTGTCCGGCCTGTTCACACTGGACACCGAGACCCCCTCAGTTGGGCCATCTCCTCAGGTGGCTGCGTCTACCCAGGTCGATGCGGCCTGCTCCTGTCGGTCACTCACTCACCCGACACTCATGTGGCACCACAGTCTAGGTCACCCTGCCATCCCACCTCTGCGTGACATGTCACAGCATGGTCTAGTCCTAGGCCTCCCAGGGTCGTTCCCTGAGTTGCCCTCCTCCCCAGCACCACCGTGCACGCCCTTTGTCGAGGGCCGGCTCCGCCGTGCCCCTCACTCCTCCTCGTTCCCCCCCACCACCGAACCGCTACAGACCCTGCACATGGATGTCTGGGGCCCCGCCCCCGTCCATGGGCCGCGTCGAGAGCGCTTCTTCCTTGTGTTTGTCGACGACTACACCCGCTACACCACGGTGTTCCCCTTCGAGTGGAAGGCCAACGTGCCTGAAGTTCTCATCCCGTGGCTTTTCTCTGCGCATGTCCACCGCGGTCTCCCTGTCCTGCGTCTCCACTCTGACCGTAGTGGCGAGTTTGCCTCTCGTGTCCTTGGTCGTTTCTGTCGTGCGGAGGGCATCACCCAGACGTTCACCTTGCCGGACTCCCCGCAGCAGAATGGGGTCGCTGAGCGATGCATCGGATTGGTCATGGAGGTCGCTCGTACCTCCATGATCCATGCCGGTGCACCCCATTTTTTGTGGCCGCACCCCGAGCAGCCGCAGGTTTCGCCGACCCTCCTCTGGACCGGGTCCCCTGGTCACGCATCTGCGTTCCACGTCTGGGGCTGCCTTGCTCACGTCCGTGCCTCTGGCACGGACAAGCTCACTGCCCGCACCCGTCCCCAGTGTCTTCCTCAGTTTCCCCCTTGACTCGTCTTATTGGCACTTCTACCACCCGTCGTCTCACCGTTTCTTTCACTCCCGCGATGTCACCTTTGACGAGTCCGTCTCCTTCTACCACTGCTTCCCCCACCGTGGTCCCCCGGTTACTCCCCCACTGTTCCCGGTTCCCCCTTCCCCGGTCGCCCCTGCCCCTCCCTTTCCCCCTCCCCGTCCTGCCCCGTCTGGTGTGTCTCACGTCACCTCTCTCCCGTTGGTTGTCCCGGTCGAGGAGTCTGCTGACTCTGGTGGCCCTGCGGCGCAGTCCTCGCTACCTGCCCCTCCCCATGTGTCTCCTCCTCCCCCGCCTCCGCCTCCGCCGTCGCCGCCGCTGTCGCAGCCGCCGTCCCCGCCGCCGCAGCTGCCGCAGCCGTCGTCGTAGCCGCCGCCACCGTCGTTGTAGCCGCCGCCGCCGCAGCCGTCGCCGCAATCGCCGCCGCCGCAGCCGTCGCCGCAGTCGCCGCCGCCGCCGCAGCCGTCGTCGTAGCCGTCATAGCAGCAGTTTGAAGACTCTGGGGGTAATGGCGTTCGGGTGGGTACTAGTCCTAGCGTGCCTGGGGGTGGTACCAGTGCTCGAGGAGTTTCGGGCTCTGGGGGTGTTCCTTATGGAGGTGCTAGAGTGGAGTGTTCTGGAGGTAGCCGTGGAGCAGCTTGCGGTCCTGGTGTTGGTGTCGTGCCGCTATAGCAGCAGTCGCCGCCGGTGTCAGCCCTTTGCCTGCTCGGCCTTCCGTCCCCTGACCACGCGTCTGTGCCGCTCCTCCTGTCTCCCCCTCTTCCTGTCTACGGCCCTGTGTTCCCTCCCCCGGACTCGTCCCCGGCTCGTCTTCCCCCTCGTTCCCCTCCTGTGTCCCCTCCTCTGTTTCCCGATCCGACTCCTCCGTCTCACGTCTGGTCTCGCCGTCCCTCCCGTGCTCGCCTTGTCTCCCCTGTTTCGCGCTCTCACCCTATGTTGCTACGTTCCCGCGCGTCTCGTCCTCTCCTCGTACCGTTGCCTCCTCCGTCCTCCCTTGTTGTTGCGCCTCTGCCTCTGTCTGACTACCTTCGTGCCGCTCGTCCTCTTGTCCCTCGGGTTCTTGCCTCTCTCGTTTCTGACCCGTCTGTTCCGGTCTCGTGTCTTAACGCTCTTGTCGCTGCGGTAGCTGGCTTCGCCTCTACCCGCCGTCTTGACTACGCCACCGCTCTGGTCTCTGACCCTGCCTGTCCTCCGTCTGTCGGGGGTGCTCCTGCCCTCAACAGTGACGTCCTGCAGTACGAGCTTGCTTTCCTATCCGAGGCTGCTCCCCATCTCTGTTCCATGCTGCTAGTCCCTGAGGGTGACCCAGACGCTTTCGACATCTCGACCCCTCGCACTTACGCTGAGGCGACCTCGGGACCTTGGGCCTCTCTGTGGATAGCTGCCATGGAGCAGGAAATGGCATCTTGGAGATCCACCGGCACCTACGTCGACGCAGTTCCCTCACCTAGGGTGAACGTAGTCGATGGCCGCTGGCTCTTCAAGGTGAAACGCCCTCCTAGAGAGCCGCCTGTGTTCAAGGCATGCTACGTGGCCAGAGGCTTTAGTCAGCGTGGGGGGGTGGACTTCTTTCAGAATTTCGTCCCGACTCTGAAGATGACTACTCTTCGGGCACTACTACATGTAGCAGCACAGCGTGACTACAAGTTACACTTCCTGGAATTCTCCACTGCGTTTCTTCAGGGCAATTCAAACGAGCAGGTCTACCTTGCGCCGCCCCCAGGGTTTCACTGGTACCTTCCCTCCTGGGACCTAGTGGCTCCTGCGGCGCCCAGTCTACGGCCTGCAGCAGGCGCCTCGTGAGTGGCACGACACAGTGCGTGCTACCCTTGCAGACCTGAAGTTCTTTCTGTCCTCTGCAGACCCCTCGCTCTTCGTTCGTTCTGGCCAGACTCCGTTCTACATACTCGTTTACGTAGACGATCAAGTCGTTGCCACTGCAGACACTGACGCACTGGCCTCCGTGAAGGCCAAGCTGCTGAGGAGACACCCCTGCACTGACCTAGGAGAGCTGCGCCGCTACCTTGGCTTGCAGATCTCCTGGGACAGAGCGGCGCGCACCGTTACCCTCACCCATTCACACTTGGTGCGCCAAGTCCGTAAGAGGTTCGGTCTTCAACTCTCCTCCGCTCAGCCCACACCTGTGCCATTAGACCATAGGCTCTCTGCTCCAGTTCCTGAGGTGTCAGTAGAGCCCAGTGGTCCTTACGCGGAGCTGGTGGATTACCTCATATACTTGATGATTTGCACTCGTACAGCTCTCGCACACCCTCTCAGCATCCTGGCTCGCTTTGTGGCCGCAGGCAGACATTGACCTCAGCACTGGTCTGCCGCTAAGAGGGTTTTACGTTATCTTGCAAGACCATGCTTGTAAATCCCAAGCTCCTACACATGAACTCATGGAAAAACGCAAACCAGCTACCGTAACGTCTGCTAAAATATTTGGAGCCAAATACAGCACTAGCACCAGTAAGTGGCAAATACGGATGTAACATACCGTAGCATTTTGCAATGCAGGCACACAATTACATGCCATGCCACTACTTACCTTCCTACACTCCAAGGAGACTACCAGTAGACAACGCAACACAACAATCCTCACTAGTGCACAAGATAGCAGTTGAAACCTCATGAGATCATTTTCAGGGCATTATTGGGTGTGAGGAAGGTGTGGGGCAAGGGTTGTCCTGTGACAGGAGAGAGGGAGCTGGCTGCTAGCCATTGCTGCATGTGGCGGCGCTCGTATGTGAAGCCATCTGCTGCCACCACTGGCTCGCTCATGGGCGCCTGCCAGAGAGAGGAGGGTGGTGGGACGGGGTGGAGTGGTGTGAAGGACAGTTAGGTGATGTTTGAAAATGTGTGAACATGGTTGGAGAGAATTGTGCTGGGAACATACCACAAAACAACATGGATGCGGGAGGGAAGAGGGGAGAGGAAAGGGAGAAGTGGGGGAGGGGGGGGGATATAGAGAGAGAGCAAGAGAGCGATTCGAGGCCATGTCAGCATTGAGTGATCACCTTGGAGAGAGGGCACAGCAGCTGACCATGTGTGCCTTCTGCACCGTTTCGCCGAATCCCTGCCCCAGCCACTGCTTCCGCTCCCAGCCCTGCCCCCCCTGCCTCCCCTTGTCTGCTTCTTCCTGCTTTCCCTTCCACCGGTCCAGCAGCCACAGGCGAAGCAGCAGGGCTACTGCGAGCAGCACTAACAGTCGCACCACATGCAGCCGCAGCCTGAGCAGCTGTAGCGGCGTGAGCAGCGTCGCTGCTGAGGCGCACAAGAGCAGGGTGCACTTCCAAAGCCAGATCTGGTCTCAGGCGGCGCTGCCGGCACGCGCAGCGCAGGGCGAGAGAGGCCAGGGCACGCGCGCACGGGAGAGGCCACGCTCCGGCTGAGGGGTCCAGGTGGGAGGCTATGGCGTCTGCCATGAGGGAGAGGGGGCTGGTGGAGTGAGACCGGGCAGAGGAGGGGGAAGAAGATGGCGATGAAGCCGCACTGCTGCCGCTGCTGCTGGTGCTACTGCAGGTGTTGCTGCTGGTGGAAGTAGCGGTGGTGCTGCTGCCAGTAGTGCTGGTGGTATTAGTTCTACCACTGAAGGCTATCACCTCACCGCCAACTCCCCCCATGCTTACTGCCATGTCATAATCGTTCATCATCCCACATGCTCCTCCCCCTCCTTCACCACCACCACCAGCAGCGCTCACTGCAACAGCTGAAGCTGACGCCAGCAGCTTGTGCACCTGATTCACGTTACTGTACCCCGTCAGCAGCTGTAACATAATAATCCCCAGCGCATAAACATCCGATAAAACTGAAATCTCGCATGTAACCACTTCCTCTGGATCAATGTAACCAGCAGTGCCCCTCACTCTCGCAGTGATGTTCCCTCCTGCATCCGCGCTCGTGTCTATCAGCCGAGCCAATCCCACGTCGGCCAGTTTCGTCCGTAGATTCAGATCCAGAAGGACGTTATGTGGCTTTAAGTCACGGTGCGCAACAGGAGGGTCGCTATGGTGCAGGAAGACCAGAGCCCCCGCCACTTCCGATAGGATCCGAACCCGGTCGGACCAATGCAGCGCGGGGCGAGTCGCAGTGGTAACTGGGTGGTTACCAGCAGCAGCAGCAGCAGCAGCACCAGTGGTGTTGCGAGCGACGAGATAATCCGCGAGGCTGCCGCCCGGGAGGTACTCATAGACGAGGCACATGGCTTTGGGGCAGTGGCCCATGAGCAGCACAATGTGCGGGTGGTGCGCGCGCGACAGCACGCGAAGCTCTGTGCAGTATTCGTCCGGCCCCTGCCAGCCCCCGCCGTCCAGCCGCTTCACCGCCACCTCGCACCCCATCAGCTGGCCCTTGAACACCTGGGGAGGGGGGATGGGTGGGGGGGAATGAGGGGGGGGGATGTGTGGGGGGAATGAGGGGGGGGGATGGGTGGGGGGGAATGAGGGGGGGGATGAGGGGGGGAATGAGTGAGGGGGACGATGGGGAAGGAAAGGTGGAACAACGGGGAGCGGAGGACGAGGGAGTTGCGGAACGGCAGGGGGGGTAGGGGATGTGGAAGGGCGAGAAACTGAAGCTAGAGCTGAGGGCGGCGAGGACTTAGAGGTGTTGACACACAGGTAGGGGGGAGGGGGAGGGGGGAGGGAAGGGGGGGGGGAGAGGGGGGGAGAAGCACTGCGGGCGGAGGCAGCGGAAAGCACCGGGTGCGCACCTGTCCGAAGGCCCCGCGTCCGAGCAGGTTGCGCTCGTCGAAGTTATCCGTGGCGGCCACCAGCTGCGCCAGGGAGAACCGCCGGCACTCGCTGCGCCCCGCCGCCTCCACTTGCGCCGCGCCCCTGCGCCCCGCTCCCCCCCCTCCCCCGTCCGCCTCCGACGAGCAGTCGCTGCCGCCTTCCCAGCTCGCGCCGCTCGCGTCACTGTCCGCCGCGCCACCAGCCGAGTCGAAGTCCAGTGGCAGGAGCGCGGCCGCAGCGGAATCATCGCCGTCACGCGGAGGAGCAGTAGTGGAGGCGGTAGTGGCTGCGCGGGGAATTATCATGTTCCACGCCTGGTGGAAATTCACATCCTCCGCGCTGCCTCCACCCCGCGCGCGCGGCTCCGATTCCCCCACGCGCTCCCCGCGCTCCCGCTCCGCCTCGTCTTCCGACCACTCGTCGTTGCTGCTCCCCGCGCTGTCCGCGCGTGCGCCAAACCCGCCGCTGCTTCCGCCAATGCCTGGCCCGAAGCACTTCGCGGCGGCGGCGGCGACCGACGTGACGGGCGCAACACCCGCTGCGCGCATGGCGGCGGCTCCCGCGGCGGCGGCGGCGGAGAGGAAGTCGGGCACGGAGGAGGATTGGGGGAGCGACTCCGCGCCTCGGCGGCCCGCGCTAGTGCCATTGGTACTAGTCATACTGGCACTAGAAATACTAGTGGCCGTGCTGATGCCGGTGGTGGTGTTGCGTCTGCCTACGGCGGCCAAAGCGACAGTGCTCTTGGCAGAGCCACTGCCAGCACTACTTGCGAACACACTGCTTCTGCTGCTGGTAGCAGTAAGAGTACTAGCGGGCGCGCCCGTCTTTCCCTCCCTCCTCTGCGCGCTCGCAGCGTCGGCTCCGCTTCCGCCGCTTGCGCCGCCTGCGCCGCTGCGGCGGCTTGGGCTGCCGGAAGGCGGCGGCGCAGCAACCCCCGGAACGCGCGGGCCGGCGGTTCGGCTTCGGCTAAGAGCGGCGGTATTGGCCGCACGACGTGGCTCGGTTTTGGCTCTCACTGCCGCGGCAGGCGGCGACGAGGAATCGTCGGCGGCGCGTGGGACTGGCTTGCCTAGGCCTTCTTTGCCTTTCCTACGCGCTGCGGGCGACGACGACGACGAAGCCTTCGATTCCGAGAAGTCGTCGCGACGCGAGGAGAATGCGGCCACCGCCTCCGACGCCGTGAGAGGCGCGCGCTCCGCCTCCGCCGCAGGTGCTGCTGGCGTTGGCGCAGTCGCCGCGCGGGCGGAAGGTGCATTGGCGGAGGCTTCGGCGAAAGCGGATGCCCCGGTGGGTGGCTTCTTGGCACTGGCGGTGGTGGCGCCGACGGTAACGGCGGTAGTAGCGGGAGGGGAGCGGACGCCGCCGTTTTTCACGGCGTTGACGGTGGCGGGACTGCGGTCACTGCTCTCGCACTGGGAGTGCGACGTCGTGCGGCTCCGCTGCTGCCCGCTAGTAGTAGACTTTCCACCGCCACCATTGCCGCGACTACCACTGCTGCTGCTGCTGCTGCTGCTGCTACTGCCGCTGCTGCTGCCGGTGCTACGGGTGCTGGGGGGCGTCACTACTGGCGACGACTCGTCGGACTTCACGTCCCGGTGGTACTGCGATGATGACGACGACGGCGACGACGATAATGACGATCGCTCGCCGTTGAGCGACCCCATCATCGCCAGCGACACGTCGAGCGGGTCTATGCCCCCGTGCAGCGCCACCGCCCGCGCGGCGCAGGTTCCGGCGCCGTCGTCACGCACGCCCGCCGCGCTGCCCGCCCGTGGGGCTGCGCCGCCGCCAGGAGTCGCCCGCCCGCCGCCCGCCGCTGCGGCAAGCGGGGGCTTTGATTGAACCACTGGCAGCGCCAATGGCGAGTCAGACTCGGAGCCTTTAATCCTGACAGCCGCGGCGGAGGCGGAGGCGGAGGCAGAGGCGGAAGCGGAAGGGCGGGCGGAAGGGGGGGCGGATGCGGGCGCAGGCTGACCGGGGCGCTGGAGCAGCTCCCGCGTGAGCACCTGCGACTCGTCCTCGCGGTGGCCGCGCGGGATACTCACCGCGAGTTTGGACGCCGCACGGGGGAGATCCGCGGAAAGGCTGGCGGACGCCGCGGAAGAGGCGGCGCCGGCGGGACGAGCAGGTGAAAGCGCGGCGGGGAAGTGCTGCGATTGGTCTTCGCGACTGCCCGCGCGAATGGAGGGCCTCGAAAAAGGGGGAGTCGCCATGGGACGATGCCGCCGCGGCTAACCACGCGATCGCGACAATGTCGGACTCGTCACGAATGGATGTGGGACCACGTCGCGCAAGACGCGGCGGGCAGAGAAGTGGGGTTCAAATCGGAAAAGCAATGCCCCAGTATTCAGCGCCGCGATCTTTGTTGTCTGAAAACGGCGGTGCTTTTTCGGGAATGTAGTAGAGACTCGGGAGGAGCGGCGAGGCGGCGAGCAAATCCAAGGCGGACGCAAGAGCTTGGCGTCGAGGCGACTCACTAATATGACATCTCCGACGAGATTAAGACTGATTTACAGGTGATGGGAGTCTGAGGGTGAGATCGGAGGCCAGACACGTCAGGCGTCGCGCGGAGAATTCCGAGTCTGGGCCAGGGATCCGCGAATCTGCGATCGGAGATCAGCCGGAGGACCCGGAAATCGAAATTACTACCATCTGACATAGAGCTACCGTCTGAACTACAGCTTGTACTAAAGCCAAAAGGCCTGAGGAGAAGTCGTGCACGCACTGTACACGTATCCTCCGAACGGCGACGTCTTGCAACCAATGGGAGGTTCGGGTCACACACGAACTGAGTCAGGCTCTTCATTTCTTACTGCAGTCGCGAGACTCTCGCGAAGCAGTGCGGTGCGGGCCGAGCTGGACTCAGCGACTGGTGGACCGTGAGTCCGTGACTGAGACTGGCCGCAAATGAACGAATGGCGTGATAAGTACTACGATGTACTGTTAGAACGCGTCCTAAGTGTTATGACAGCGGACGAGTCTCGTCCCTTGATGTCAGTACGGACGAATGACAACAGCTACGATTCATTCTGTCATCGGATAACAGCGGATGACAGAACTGCACTTTGGACACGCTCTAACACGCATCGCATGGGGTGGGGGAGAGGAGGAGCACTTCACGGGCCTCATGAAAACTTTCACCGTCACGAAAGTGCTTACAGTTCTCGTGACAGTGAATGTTGTGACGGTGTGGTGACTCGCGAGGTGATCTCCTTAGCTCTTCTTCCCGCGCGCAACGGGACGCGCCTTGCCTCGCGTCGCGTTGTTGTGTGGAGGGTAGAGTTGCGCGAAAGCGCGGCATGCTGCACTGTACAGGATCCCCATCAGGCAGCCCGTGGAATTGTGATCGAGGAGGACGCATGGCGGCAGCATAAGATGCTTCGTTCTGGAAGGCAAGGGAGATGCAGCCAGGACGAAGGAGAGGTGGAGAGGAGAGAGGAGAAACGGATGTTTCTTTCAGTGGCCGTGGCATACCATCGCATGGGATGGCATGGCATGGCATCCCGCTGCGGCCAGCTGGTTGGGTCGAGTTGAGTTGAGAGAAAGACAGAGCTGAGGGGTAGGGGGGGGAGGAACTGGTGGTTCGCCTTGAAATGCGGAGTTTGAGCGGAGACTGGGAGGAGGTGATGGCAGTCGCGTGGATGGACCAATGAGCGACTGGCAGTGAGGGATGGATGAGGGGATGGGAGTGAAGGGACAGCTTATGCTATCTGGGAGTTAACCCTGATTTGACTGAAATCCTAGGGTATGTTTGAGACTGAAAATGCCGTTTTCCTGATAGCTCTGTGCCTTTCCCAGGAGAAGGCGACCCAGAGGGAAGATGTCCTCCGGGATTGTCCCAGTATCTTCACCCCCATCCCCCCCCCTTCGGCCCCCTGAATAATAGTCTTGTATGTCCCCCTTCCTCTGACCCTGGACCGCCCACTCTTCCCCTCAACAGTTACTGAACTGCTTGTGGGACGGGCCACACTCTTCCTTGATTTTAGGTGGAATGACTCACTGAGCGGAGAACACGCACTAGAAAGAACCCGTCTCGAGGCAAAACCTTTCGTGCATTTTTTCGCGAGTCCTGAGAAAATAACAGAGCTGCACAGATTTGGACCCTGGTTTTCCAGGGTGAAATGCTCAAAGGGCTCGGAGCGTCCGAGCTGGTAAAAAAAACTGGACGGGATTGAATCAGGCCTCTCGCTAAGCCCCAGAGTATTCCGGAAGGGGAGGGAATCGCCTCGGGAAGCCCCCGAAAAAACCGTTATCAAAAGGAATCGGCCGCTACAAATTCAGCTAGCAAGGACTCAAAGGGGAGGGAGGAAAGGTGGGCAGGGTAGTGGGGGGAATAGCTTCCCCCTGCAGATTGCCCTGTACTTCAAGTATAGCCCGTTCGGATTCAAACAAAAGTCACCCATTAGGGTGAGGAATCGAGGGAAATACTATCCGTAAGCCGGACGGATTCGGAAAAAAAAAATCGCACCGTAAAACAATGGAATTGATGTTAAAGTTACTCAAAACGTTTTGACCTTAAGAGTACTTACCCTGTTAATTCGGGTCCTAGGAAAGATGCCCGCCATACATGAAAGAAGGAGATAAATTTGAATGGGGGTGAAGGCGGTCAGGGCTCTCATTAATACCCGCTAAAGATAGAATATATGAAAAACTACCCGTTAGCATACGGACTCGTCGAAGAGATTCCCCTCGTTTAAGGCTATAATCCCCACAGACAAGAAGCCTTCCCACCAGGGCTTACCTTAGGGTTTTCATCCACATGGCAGACCCGGGTATCTCTCTCGCGGGACCCGGTTTAAGTGGTTTCATCTGGAACGCTACCCGTCAAAGTCCGGGTTCAGTCCCCGGATCTTTTCCGCGATGACAAACGCTCTTACGAAAAGTTCCTGTTTTCTACAAGGGAACCAAGTAAGAGTACTCCGCTCAGCCCTTAAACGTCCACTTATGGAACTTCCTTGCGAGGGCTGATGTGCCCTGGGGAGAGGGAATGGCGGGGGTATCTGTGGGGTGGTGTGAGAAGTTACAGTGTCCATGTTTCTCAAAACCGAACACATCACTTCACGTGTTGTGGCAAAAATGTACCCGTCAGAGTCCGGGTTCATGAAAATCTAACACGTCGCAATCCGATTTCGGCCGGAAACTCACCCGTTATTTGGTCACCCGTTTTCCGATTTCGGCTGAAATTTTACCCGTCAATAATAAGCCTTGCTTCCCACGGCAAAGCCTCAGAGCCTTGGAACCCCCTGGGGAATGCTTATAGGGAGAGTATGAAAACTTCTCGCAAAGAGAGGAAGAGGGAAAGATTGCCACTATGGACAAATTTCCTCTACAAGTGGACTTCAAACGGAATTGAAGAAAAGTTCCCGTCATGCCAAGAATCACACGGAAGGGGCAGGAAACGTTTGCTCCGCCAAAGATATTGAAAACATGCCAAGCCAACTCATGATTTCTTTACATTCAGGAAAATTATCCTACATTATTAGCTATAGGCATGAAGGGGCAGTGTAAGGGTGGTTGTCGTTTTCTGTTTGGCTACCGGCAGTTCCGTTTCGAACTTGAATGCAGCATTCGCTTTTGCTACACACGGCAAATGCTGGTGATGTACAGACATGGGCGGAGGCGGATCGAGTGCTAGGTCAGCTTCTCCTTGGCTTGCAGTGTACAGTATGTGGGGATTCCGCACCTGCAATTATGCGAGGGACGGTTCCAAGGAATGCCCTCCCTGTTCGGCTCTGTCTCATGGTAACGCAACTTCAGCACTTCTTTTTGCAAGCTCAACGCAAACTTCTGTAAAATCTGGCAGTCTTGTTCTGTGTTACCTTTCCCGATACACTTCCAGCTCTGTTCGTATCGTACATATGTTCCCAGAACATCGAATTTACGTTGTCTAGAGACACGCCATGACAGATGAGCGATTTTGTGGAGCATCGTGGAGTCATTTCTCGGGTGCGACAGTAAAATACGAGGATAATTTGCCTGACCAGTCTGAGAGTGAAGAGTACAGTAGAGTAAATAGAACTGTCCCCAGATTTCGGATCCACAAACGCGATTTGACGTCAGGTGGACTTGGCAGCAGCTTGGCGTCAGCTTGGTGTACAGCAGGGCCTATTTTTCAAGGGTAATTACCCGGAAGGAAAAAACATTAAGAGTTCGCGTTGGGCTCGTTCCGGATTTTGAACGGGTAGAGTTATTGGGGTTTCCGGATTTTATAGAAGTGGTGTTGTGGGGGGCTCCGGGAGGATCAGAATTCGCTGGGGAGGTAATCCGGCTGCAACTGCCAAGAAATACCCCTCCCGCCCCCCCACCCCCCTCCCCTTTCCCCGTCCTCGCACCCAGGGTAGCAGAGACATTTTTCTGGCTAAGTCCCCAACTTTAAGAAACAATCCCACGGAGCCCCCGAACCCAGGCAATTCGGCTAAGTCCCTCACACACATAACTCCCACACCAGCAAAACTCAGAAAAAATGGCTAAGTCCCCAACTTCCAGCAGCATTCCTTCCTTAACCCCACAACCAAGCAAATATGACGAAGTCCCCCACACACAGGCATACCGTGCTCCTCCCACCCGCACCACCCGAAACCCAGAATTTTCGACTAAGTCCGTCACAGTCAGGAACATTCCTTCCTCGATCATAGTTGAATTCGGCTAAGTCCCTCCCAAACAGAGATAGTCCTCTTACCCACACCCAGGAAACTTAGGCTAGTCCTTATTGCAGGAACATTCCTGAATTTACCCTATAACATAGAGTATTTGGCTAAGTCTCCCTTAAACCTAGAGAATTTTACACAGAGAGACTCCTCCCATCCAGGCCACCCTAAACCTTGAATATTTGGCGTCCCTCACAGACTGGAAAATTCCTCCTACAGCTCCGCACGCCCACGGAGCTAGGAAAATTTGGCTAAAAACGTTTAGCCACGTTTCCCTCCTCCCTCTTCCCGCAACCCAGAAAGTTGCGAAGGTTGCTGGCACATATTCTACCCTACTTTAGCAGGTTTGTCAGAAAACTAGTGGAGGAAATTCACACTCCTAGCATAGCAAGTCCAAAAGTACTCTCTTTTGCTGGCACTCCGCAAAAGTTACCCTGTTTAGACCTTGAACATCTTGACATGTCCGAGTCAATGTTTGCTGTAACTCGGCTAAAAGTAACTTTGTACCCGAATCTGGATGAAACAGAAATCAACTACCCTGAAATCCGGACGAATCAGGGTGCAGGGGGGTGGGGAATTCGGGAGAAACAGAGTCTAAAAAAACCTTAGCGTGAGCCCTGGTGTACAGCCGTAAATATGGATGCAAATCATATGCGATTGGTGCAATGACGACTAGCGCAAAACTTTCGGAGGTGCCATTACTCCATAGGTGCAACACCCAAGTAAACCTTGAGCCTGACAGAGGAACACAACTTTTCAGGGTGCCGGTAGACAAGAACGCGCAGGGGTTTCGCACGGCATCGTCACCGGCATGTAGGCCTTTCGCATGGGCACGAAGGTTACCGTTTTGATGTTTTGCGGGGTAGGTTTGAGTGGCATATTTTGGCGAGCCATTGTTCACTTAGTTACCCTGTATTAAATTTCGGCGCTTTCAAGCGAGCGTGAGTTTCTCTGGTGTAGCACCAGAATGGTGGTTGGCGGGTGAGATGTTGAGTGAGTTTCTCTGGTTTGGTTTGCTCCCTTTCATACTCAGTGAAATGTAGGGAGGGTTTGGAGTCGCATTTCGCTTCCAAGTGTTAGGGACGTGCTCTAAAGATTTATTACATTACGAATTGAAGGTTCGTGTCGCAAAAATAACTGCTGCGTGGTTTGTGGGAATTTGTTTTCGAGTTTGTTCCTTGGCTGGT